ATAGAATGGACGATAGGGGTATAATTCCAGAAAAACTAACTCAGGTTTTAAGAAATTGGAATAAAGTCAACAAAAAAATGAATTTTCCCAAAGCAATCTATATTATACCAAACCAAAATCCAACTGGTATTATATATGACCTTGAAAGAAAATTAGAAATCTATGATATATGCAGAGAATGGGATTTATTAATAATAGAGGATGACCCTCACTTTTTTTTACAATTTAATGAAAAGGATCCAAATACTGGTAAAAGAAAATTAGAGAAGTCGTTCTTGTCAATAGATCAAGATAAAAGAGTAATTAGAGTAGATACATTTAGCAAATTTTTATCAAGCGGTATTAGAATGGGATTTTTAACTACAAACAGGGTACTTATTGATAAGTTGTCAAATGAAGTTAATGCATCATGTTTTCATCCATCTGGTTTAACCCAAATCACCCTGCTTAAACTATTTGAGCAATGGGGTCAAGAGGGTTTTGATAAACAAGTCTCAAGAGTACAAGAACAACTTATTGAAAGAAGAGATAAAATGAAGCAACTAATCGACAAGCATTTAGATGGCCTAGTTACCTATAGAGTTCCAGATTGTGGATTATATTATTGGATCAAGCTAAATGATGTAGAATGCTCATTAAAATTTTTCAGAAATATTTTGCATGATAAAAAAGTGTATTTAGGTTTAGGAATATCGCACACCCCCAACAGAATTAAAACACCATATGTAAGAGTAACATTTTCATACATGGATTATGAAGAAACAGATATTGCATTTAAAATATTATCGAAATGTTTAATAAAGGAAAAAGAAGATAAAAAATAAACACACTTTAAACTATACACATAGTTACTCAATATGTGTATAGTATATTTAATATTTATAATAAATAGTAATCAAACAATGATTACTTTATATATTTTATTTTAATTTTTTATTTTTTATTTTATTGTTTTTTTAGTTTTAATATTCGAAAATTAAAAATTTAATCAATTTTCTTTGCGACTTCTTGGGCTTTCTTTGGACCAGAGTAAGATTTTTTATAGAATTGAGTGAAAAGGAATAAGAATGAAAAGTTGATTGAATAAGCAGCGGCAAAACATGGGTAATGAGTGACACAACCGACAGTATTAATAGCAGTGACATGAAGAACACCGGCAACACCAAGACAACAGAATTGAAGGATTTGAATCTTGGTAATGTATTTCTTCCACCAAACTGAGATACCTCTAGCACTTTGGAAATAGAAATAATACATGAAAACGTGTACAAAAGTGTTTAAGAAAACAACCCATAATTGGAGATTCCAACCAGAGTAAAGGAAGTACCAACATAACCAAACAACAATGCAATGATGGTAGACGTGTAAGAAAATTAATGGTTTCTTTTTTAATACAATAATAACAGTATCTAATAATTCATAAAATTTGCTAATGTAAAAAATGTATGACCAATAGTATGAAACACCGTTATCATAACCTTTGGCAGCTTCACAGAAAGTAAATAATGGTGATCCTTCAGCCTATATAAATAGTAATTATAATAACATTTATTAATATACTATTAACTCCATACAAGTAATAAAATTTAATAATTATATATAAATACTTACAACTGATCTTTTAATAACTTCGTAAATAATACCGACGCACATAGCAAGTGACCATAAACATAAAATAATATTATGGAGAATTGTAATATTTTTTAATGAGAATGGTTTTCTATTTCTCATAAAGAACTAAAATTAATAAAAATAAAACAGTTAGTATTTGAAAAATATTTATAATAAATGCTAAAACTCTGTAAATAATAATTACCTTAATTGAAAAAATTGTAATTAAATAAACTGCTAAAACAGTTGGTACAATTTGAAATTGTGAAAATGGGGTAACACCAAAGTTGAACTTAAAGTTAACTGGGTCAAATAATTCTGACCAGTTTGATTTGCTTATATCATGTTGAAATAAGTGTTCGTAATTCTTTGGGTCTAAATATTCGCTTACAATTGATTGAATATCCATTTTTATTTTTGCGTGTATTTATTTTTTAAAAAATAAAAAAATATTTTAATTTTATATAACCTATATAACACTATATTAATATTTTATTTCTTTAAAAAAAAAATCTGTATTATTTTATTTATTTATTATATTAAATAATTTATAATTTATAAATATATAATATAATAATAATAATAATAATATAATATTTATTTGGGTTTTAAAAAAAAAAAAAAAAAAAAAAAAAAAAAAAAAAAATTTTGGTAATAGTTATTATCGATGTATTTAAAAAAAAAAAAAGAAAATAAAAATAAAAATAAAAATAAAAATAATAAATAATAATGTCGTTTTCTTGAGTAGGTATCGGCAAAAATCATCATACCGCTTTAAATAAAATTGTTGTTAAAAGGGCTACTATGGGAAAATATTAATTACCTTTTATTTTAATATGGAACCCAGTGGGTTCCCAAACTGTCGTTTGCCTTAGATATTATCAAAAATTGAAAAAATTTAAAAATTTTAAAATTATAATAATAAAAATTTTTTTAAAGACATAATTTACGTAATATGACATAAATATATAAAAATTTTTTTATTTTTATTTTTTTTAATTTTTAAAAACCAAATTAATTTTTACAAATATAATTTATATTATAAATAAAAAATAAATAAAATAAAAAGATAAAAAAAATAATAATAAAAAAAAAAAAATATAAATATATCTATTAGATTCATATTTTTTTTTTTGGTTTTAAATATCCACAAAAGATTTTTTTGTTTTTTTTTTTTTATTTTTTGAAAAATAGGATATTTTTGATTAGGTATCCACGTGACTAATCTCGACAAGAAGAATTGTTTAATAATTTACTAAATTTTTATAATTATTTAATTATAGTTTAAATTTTAACATTTATATAATATAATTTGAATCGAAATCGTTTAGTAAAAATTGAATATAAATTGAGCAATAAAAGAAACACAAAAGAAATCTAAAATAGATAAATCATGCATCTCCCAATTTATTCAAATGTTTATAAATTGTATTTATTTTTTCAGTAAAATTAAAACTAAAATTAAATAACTATGATCTCTGAGTTTAGCTGTATACACATTTTATTTAGGAATGAATTTAATTTTTCCATATTTATAAAAAATAAAAATAAAAAAATAAAAAATAAAAAAATATTAATTTTTTTTATTTTTTATTTTTTTTTTATTTTTCATTTTTTCAAAATTTTTTTTATAAAAAGTTATTAAAATTATTTATTGCATTATATAACTTTTTTTTTTATTTAAAAGTTACTATAGTTTCAGAATATGAGTGGTGGTTCAGCATCATCATTTCATGGGGGACATCAAAGACGTCTTTCTCAACAAAATTCACATCATATTCATCATCAATTAAATAATAGTACAGGTGGTATTGGTACCAATAGATTAGGATCATCACTATCCACTTCACCAATTTTACAATCTTCAACATTGACACCACCAATCACTTTAAATACATTTCAATTAGATTTAATACATACAAATACAGTCATACCAAATTCACCACCACCAACTATAAATACGAATAATATAAGTTCACCTATAAGTAATAATACAAATAATAATAATACAAATAATAATAATACAAACAATGTTAATAATGTATCACAACCAAATTTATCATCACCAACAACAACAACAACACTTTTAAATAATAGTGGTAATAATATTAATAATACTTCGACAGTAACAGCGGCAATCACAACAGTAGCAGCAGCAACAGCAACAACAGCAGCAACGACGACAACAATAACAGCATCATCATCAACACCAGGATTATCAAATACTGTTCCAAATTTATCAAGTTCAAGTAGTAGTAATCCAATTTATCAAGGAACAGGTGGTAATAATGATATCGAAACAACAAATAATAACGTTAGCAATTTATCAGTGTCATTATCATCAACACCACAACAACAATCAACACCACAGCAACAATCAACACCACAGCAACAATCAACACCACAACAACAATCAACACCTTCAACATCATCCTCAATGGTATCAACACCAACCATTTCATCCTCATTATCGACATCATCTATAACCACAGTTTCAACATCATTAAATAATATAAATGGTAGTAATATAACGACCACAACTACAACTACAACAACTACTACTATACCTGCACCTAAAATAGCGAAAAAAGGTGCCAATACTGAAGTCTATGGTTTTGTTTATTGGATTGCAACATTTTTGGGATATATTTTATATTTATTATGGGCATTTATACCAGAGAGCGTATTATCAAATTTAGGTGTTCATTATTATCCAAGCAAATATTGGGCAGTAGCTATTCCAGTTTATTTAATAGTGTGCATAATGTTTGGTTTGGTTGTATATTTTTGTATCAATTTAATTATTACCGAACCATTGGAGTCGTTCAATACATTTAAAGATCAATACTCTCAAGAGGCAGATCATTCATTTGGTTATTTACCAGAATCCATCCCACCATTAGAAGATATACCAATTGGTGTTGTAAATGAAATTCTATATCAAAGAAATAGTTTTAGAAATATTAATAATAATATTATTGGCCAACAACCTCTACCAAGTGTAAATTCAAGTAATAGTAGTATTTTAATAAATAGAGGTAATACCATTAATACTAAAAGTTCAAATCATTTACTCCCAAATAAACCATTATCATCACCAAATTTATATAATAGCTATTCATTAAATAACTCGACTTCTTCGACTGTATCATCACCACCTCCACAATCATCAACCATTATATCTACAACTCCAACAAATATAAATTCACCAAATAATTCTTTATTTTCTCTTCATCAAAGATCAGCCTTACAACAACAACAAAAAAGAATTCCAACAATTTCAAATTCACCTTTAAATTCACCTAGAACCTCCAATAAATAAATAAATAAATAAATAAATAAATAAATAAATAAATAAATAAATAAATAAAAAGAAATTATTTTTATTATAAAATAAAAAAACAAGAAATAAATAAATATGCAAACTCTTTTGTTTTTTTCTTGGGAAATTAATACTTTCTTGATGTGTGTCATAAAAAAAATAAACTCTGTTATTCAGGTTTCGAAAATAGAGGTTGGTTTGGAAAATATCTTTTTTTATATTATTTTTTTTTTTTTTTAATTTTTTAATTTTTTAAAAATTTTTTTTATTTTTTTTATTTGATTCATATTAACGAGGTTATTTGATTAGATTTACCTTTAAATTAAACTATTTATACTATAGTTCTTTATATATTAAAATAATCATATATGCATAGTAAAATAAAATAATGGCAAGTTTAAAAAAAAAATTTAAACTTGATTGGGGTAAAAACATATATTATATTGGTTTATAAATATTGGATTTGGATTGATATTAATTTAGAAATTTCATTATAAATAGATTCTCTTCTTACATATGATACAATCAAAGTTGTCAATATTAGGGATAGAAGATTGGGTGCCCTCCATATTATTTTCATGATTGTTATTATAGGTTATATTATAGCATATCAATTAATTTATAAAAAAGGTTATTTGGAAATAGAGGTACCAACTGGTTCAATAAGAACCTCTTTATTGGCAGTTTGTATTCATTTATTAAATTATTGGGTAGATTAATAATTTAATAATTAACATTAAATAATATTTTTATTTAGCCATCAGTATTTGCAACAAATTTAACATATTGCAATAATCAAAATCCAGGATTATATCCATACACTGAATTAAATTGCACTTATTGGGATGATCCTTTAGTGGTGTTTCCAATCGCTCAAGAAACTGCATTCACAGCAAGCACTAGAGTTAAAGTTATAAATCAAACTTCAAATTGTTTTTTTGATTCACCAAATTGTACTTTTCAAGATATTTCACCAGAAACCAATATGTATCTTGCAGATGTCGAAAATTTTACAGTATGCATTACAGTTTATTTCATTTAAAAAAAAAATATATTTTTTTAACCTTTTTTTTTAATCACCACTTTTTTTAGATATTAATTGATCATACAATGTATGCACCAATATCAGGAATACAATACAATGCAGAGGAGTTAGAGGGTTATATTCAAAATCAATATGGTGAAGACATTCAAATAAATCAAGGTATCACCACAGTTGGTATCAAAGGTAAACCAGACATAATAACATTAGGTCAATTATTAGAATTTGGTGGTATTGATTTAGATTCACAATGTAGATATTTTTTTTATATTTTTACATATTGATAACTGTAATATTAATAAAATATATTTTTTATTATAGCACCTTTAAATGAAACACATTCAATTAGATATGATGGATGTGTAGTTTTTGTTTTTATAACATATTCAAATACTTATACATATAGTACAAATAATATTAAATATGTTTATTCAGTTAAAAAAGTTAGTGATACAGTTTATGATGTACCCGAACCAGTAATATTAAGTTCATTGCAAAGTAGATTAATATTTAAACGTCATGGTATTAGATTAATATTTATTCAAACTGGATCAATAGGTTCATTCCGTTTGGAGGTTTTGGTTTTAACTGTAAGTTGGGTGTTTAATTACATTTGGGTGATTATTTATTTATTTTACATATTACTAATAATCTATTTAAAAAATCAATAGCTTGCATCAAGTTTAGGTTTACTTGCAGTTTCAACTATTATTGTAGATCAAATGGCAATTAGAATTTTACCACAAAGAAAGAGTTATTCATCACTTAAATTCCAAGTTACAGAAAAGTTTGAAGATGCAATAACAATAATTGGATCTAAAGAAAAGGAAAATGACCATGTCGATGATGAAAAACTATTTTCTCAAATAGATAAATTATAGAAAAAAAATAATAATAATATATAATATAATTGTAATGATATCTTATATTTTAAAAACTATATTTATTATATAATATTAGTTTATTGTATAATTGAATTTTAAATAATAAATAAAAAAAATAATCTTTTTGTAAATATTTTTAAAAAAAAAAAAACTATAGATAAAATAATAATAATCTTTTATTTAAATCTTTTATTTATTGTTAACAAAAATAAGGTCTTTTTTTGCATAGTCCATGTTCGCTTGTATTGTTTACAGTATAGTGCATCGTATTAAAATTATGATTATAATTGATGTTTTTTATGCTCAAGATATTATCAAAATCAGTTTTCTTAATTTTAAAAAAATTAAAAGATTCTAAAAAAAAAAAAAGAATTAGTTTAATTGTTATTATATATTTATTTTAATATTACTACTAACTTTGTATCATTCTTTAAACTATGTATTTTGAGTTGTATATAATTAAAAATATAATTATAAATATCGATATAAATATTTTTTTTTTAAAAAAAAAAGAACGAAACAACACTAACAAAATGAATTATGTGTTATTATAAAAAGAAATATTTATAAAAAGATTTGACAGGAAGATCTGGCAATTTTCTACACACTACATTCCCGCTATTTTATATTACCCCTTTTTATTATAATTATTTTTAGTTTACAAAAAATTTAAATAAATAATTTTTTTATTTATTTTTTTAATAATTTTATTATATCTTTTCCCCCGCTTAAATAGTTAAGTTCATTTTAAATAAAATAGTTATACTAAGAATATTAATAAAAGAATAATAGTAATAATGGAAAATAGTATTGATATTTTTTTACCAAATTATTTAATAAAATATTTATTAAAATTGATATGCTCACATATTAATTTTAAAAATGATAAAAGAAAATTATACGAATTTTATAAAATGGAACATGATGCAATAGAAAAAGAAAAGGACTTTAAAATGAATTTATCGATAGTTTGTTGGGATTGGTTCAAATGTATATCAAATAATCTAAATGTGTCAATTGATTTCAAGTATTTTAATGGTGTGGATGAAGTTAGAAACTCGTATATCATTTTAAAGAATGAAAATGTTACAGTTTTAAAACTAGTGTTTTATGACAACTTCGATACAAATTATGAAGAAACATTCAAGATGAAACTATCTCAGTATAGAAATTTAAAAAAGATTGTAATTTGCAGAAGATACATCCTTAAAGATCTCGTTCACTATCCACAAACCTTCACTATTGATTTCTTAAATAGAGTTTTGGAGGGTATCAATAAAAATAACCCAGTTAAAGTAAACATCCAATTTTCCCTTTTTTGCAACTGTTTTGGTTTTCCAGTAGTGCCATTTCAAAAGTGTACTTTCAAAGTAAACAAAATGCAAATTGATTCATGTTTTGAACATTCAAATGTTATCTATAATTATTTAGAATATTTTAATCCTAAAAAATTTATAGTTGTGCCAATTTCGACTCCTTCCCATTTCGAAAAGTCTCACTTGAATTTAAAAGATTTGGATAAATGGATGGATATTAAAAATTCACTAAGCCCTATAGTCCCAAATTATAACAACAACAACAACGATGAAGAAAATGAAGCCATTTTAGAAAATGTATCAATAATTAGAAGAAACTTTTTAGAGAATTTAACAATTGAAACACTCAATTTAAATGATTCATTTTCAGTAAGAGAATTATACTATTTATTATATTATATACCTCAAGTTAAAAGTCTCTCAACAGGTATCTGTTTATCAAAACTAATTAGAAAATTCAATAGAGAAACCAGTTTAGTCGTAAATACAAACCCTTATAATATTGTTGAAAAACCAGGATTCAATTATTATTGGGACATGCTAAGAAAAAGATTAAAGACAAATCATAATTTAATAAATTTAACCTTACATAATAAATGCTCATTTAAGTGTTGTGATACAAATAATAATAGTAATACCATTAATAAAGAATTAAATACCCCAAAAAAACTAATAGAAGAGATTTCAGAGGTATTCAAAAACAATAAATACCTAAAATTAATTACATTAATTGATTTTAATCAAGATATAATCAATAATTTAATGAATTCTCAAATAAATAAAAAGTTAGTAGTTTTAAAATATTAAAAACAAACCATTTCCCTACAACACCACTTTGAATCACTTCTTATAAAATTTTTTTTTTTTTCAATGATATAATAAAAATATATAAATAATTATAATAATTTATATTATTTGGAAATAATAAAACCAAAAACAAATCATTTTTTATTTTTAATTACAGATAAAGTGGATATAATATAATTTATTATAAATTTTTATTGTTTTTTATTATTTAAAAACCATGGTAAATTTTTTCATCTTGTGAAATTTGGTGAATAAATTGACTTAAAGTTGCTGTTATTGTGGCGATAATTGTATAAATAAAAAGTCAATTATTGTAATTTTTTATCATTATTATTTATTATTATTATAAAAGTGTGTGATAATAAATTTATTAAAAAAAAAAAATTTTAAAATTAATTTTTTTAATTTTTTTTTCAATTTTTTTTTTATTTTTTTTATTTTCTGAAAATATACAGCACACCATAAACTTGGTGAAAATTATCAACTTCAAAATGTACATAAAAACAAAGATCTGATTTAGGATTTGATTCAAATGATTCACATTCACCATCAGTTAGCTATACTTCATCAAGTAGTAATACTTCATTACCAATTTCACCACCAATTTCACCAGCAAGAGCTATATATCCATC